GCCAAACAAAAGCATGATATCAGTAATACCACTCTGAAATGTTTGCAATGCTTTAATTAGATCATGATTGTGATCACAGATTATGAACGTCAAATGTATGCGCAGAAAGAGCAAAGAAGACTGAACGAGGTAACCTCATAAAAGATTCAGGTCTGTGATATTTGCTGAGCACTTTGAAGATGGATGAACCCATCATAATGGCCACCATAAACGATGCGAATATATAACCGTGTGGTATACGATCACCTAAACTGGCCAGTGTTAGTGCTGGAGTCCATTCCAAAACGAATACATACATCGCGCCTTCGAAGAGACTTTGAATGAGACCCAAACAGATCACTTTACCATCTGAAATGCGTTTTAGTTCCGATTTCGAGTATACGCCTTTTGGAGAGTCAAATTTTGAGTGTATTATTTTTAAATGGTCTTGGTGCAGTATAGGACCGATACGATAGATGCCATTTGTAAGCAAATTTGCTATTTTATTGGATCGTTGATGCAAGCCTAATGAAGTTAAACTGTTGACTGGCGATTGTAACTGTCAAATGGCTCACATTCGAGATTTCAGTAGTGCTTTAGATGAACCACCGAATTTTTGGTTCAACGAACAACACTGCTCAAAATTAGCAGAATTTGTTCAGTGAGGAAATCCTGTGCTAACAAGTATAGATTACCGTTTTTCATCATATGAACAGCATCAATAAAATGTTGATGAACTTCTGCTTTTTGATCACCATAATTTTCAGGCCATGTAAAGATGAGTATACCTGCCATTATTGTTAACACGGCCATAGAGGCATCGAACGGAGCACTGAATTTGCATACGCATCAAAGTGGTGCGACATAGAACAACTTGAATTTCGAATAATTTTTAAATATCTTCAATATTCCAAACAATTTCAACTAGCAAAGTGTGTATTCAAGAATTTGGAGAATTGAAAAAATTTTTTAATTTTCACGATGTTTGTTAGAATATATGCAGTTTCAGATTTTAAAAAAAAACGACATCCAAAAAGCTCACACAAATCCGAAAAAATCCGCAGCGTATTGCGCCACAACGCCCGATATAATTGCAACCAATGAATTACCGAGTGTCGCATGTGAAAATATTGTCGACAGTAACTGATCGTTGAAACCACGCTTCAAATTCAGTTATTTTCGAGGAACGGTTTCAAAAATGTCATTGGGAGACTTATCCCACTTCATAGTTAGTCTCAAATTTTGAGTTCGATCTTCCGATCTCAAACGATTCAAAGGAATCGTTCGGTTCGATAAGACCATTGGTTCTGAATGGTAGTGTATAAATTCTGGTGGACATATCAGAGTGCCTACTGTATTTGTTTGTCGCAACAATTTCTATCCCAATGATAAATGTAACCTTATTGTGCTCAAAAACAAGCCATGATTCAAAAGCGCTGTACAAAATAGACGTAGCAATACCGCCCAATAAACGTCCGATCATTAAAATCCAAAAATTCGCAAAATGTTTCGTGACGCAAGCTGCTGAATACAGTACTGCGTATAGGAAACAATTCGATTTGCGTCCACTGAAATGAATTCTTCCATTGATATATTAAACAAAATCATATTAACTTTTAGGATATCTTTTAACTTATCTCGTTGCTTGCCACATACTCTCTCTTNGCTGATGGAATGAATGAATACGTAGATAATTGGCTGAACTGGATAGTTTATGAAAAAACGAATCGAACAAACTATTTATCCGC